CCTCGTTTTGCACCCTTCCCTTTTTTTTGCTGATTTTTCCTACCTTTTCTTTGGCAGGACTTGGTAACTTCAAAGCGCCATCGTTTTTACACGCCGAATGACATTTCGTCACGTCTCATTGCGTTCGTATTGCCTGCCCACGCCCATGTCTCGTTTGACATCCACACCGCATGATTTCAAAAAACCGCATAGAAAGGTTATATGCAACTGTATTTCATATGCTAACGGGTGCGATCATACCAGCACTAATGCACCGGATCCCATCTGAACTCCGCAGTTAAGCGTTGATTTCAAAATGCTATAACTTTGGGTAGATTTATCTGTTTCTAGATTTTTTTTTAATTCCATGTAGTTTTTCGAGGGCTACGTCATGGCGGGTCGCCGAAGGCGGCCCGGTCACTTTTTCATTGTTAATCGAGCTTTTATTTATTTTATTTCTCCAATTTTATAGTTTGCTCCAACATTTCATGGTCAAGTTTTTTTTCTAATTCTTGATGTAAAGACATCAACAATCTTGTGTTTGTTTCTATATTTGTGTAATAATAACAGATTTTGCAAAAACACAATTATTTTATATAAACTTAGTAGGTTATATTACTGAAGATCTCTTATGTTAGCAGGTTTTCTGTTTAGTGTGGTGGTAAGACTTTGTCCACCGGTCGCCGGCCTATGCAACCAAAGTTCGAGTAACCCATATGAATAATTGATATATCCTTTTTTACTCTCAATTATTTTAGTATTTAATTTCGTGGTATGATGGATAAATTACATGACTTTGTCATATGCCACCTGGGTTCAATTATTTTGAAATTAAACATAGGACAAATCATAGATACAATATTGATTTGGGCTAATGTTTTTAGTTAAAACAATACTAATACATGTATTGTTTAACATTTTGTTTACGTTTCAAACTTTCAATTTTTTAAAGATTTTTTGTTAATAATTATAATTTTATCATGGGCTAATTTGGTAGATAACTAAAAAAAATAATAATAATCAAACAAGTAGCAAAAATTGGATTATATAACAAAAAATCAACCTAATTAGTTAGTTAACCTAATTTTTTGTTAGGTTATTATGCCCAATTTCTCTTTTATCATTAAGCCCTACTATACAAACACTCTCTTTTAATAACTAAAATATTCTGTATAGTTTAATCTTTTGTAGGTAATTTTTGATGGTGTATCATCATTACGGGTGGAATGTGTGGTAGTTTTGAAAAGTGACATTTTTCAAAAAAATTTAAATTATTTTTTCGATATTTTTTTTGTGAAAAGGTATTTACTATATTTAACAGCTTGTATTCAGTTATAACTATTTTTTTAAATGTTAAATGTTAAATGTTTCTCTTAACGATTTTCCTTATTAAACTCTTCAACCGGTTTCTTCAAACATGATAACCAATAGTAGAATTGGTTAATTTTATGGTATTCTCATAAATTCCCCATTTGTTCTCTCATTTCTCTGTCTGGTGTCTGGTCCCTTGTCACTCTGACTTCCTCCATTGTTATCTTCGACCTCTGAATCCGAGTGCTTCAGGGTGAATCTCTTATTCTTTTCACCTTCTAGCTTTGCGATTCGATCTCACGAAGACTTTCTAGTCTGGAATCATTTATGTAACTCAGTTTTCTGTTCTCAAAACCCTAGTTTCTTTATTGACTCTTCTCCTTCCATTCTTTCTTACAAATCTCCCTCCCGCTTCATTTCTGGGTTTTTCTCACTGTCCATTCTCCATATTTAGGGTTTTTACAAGTCGAAATTCGCGTCTGTTATGGCTGTTTTAGCAACCAATCGCAAGCGCAGAGCCGAATCCTTTAATTTGCAGGACTCGAAGAAACGCAGATTCTCCTCTCCGGAAAACCCACTTTCTTCTTTCAATGCTACAATGTCGACACGTTCTCCCACTGAGTGCAGAGAATTTCTTCGATTCAAATCACTGGTTCGTTTGTTCATTCCAAAGAGTCTGCTTGTTAGAGACATAGGCAGACTTGTTTGATTGTGTTATGAACTTTTAGAGTGGGTTAAAATGTGTTGACAAATCACATTGTTAAGAATGGTACTCATGGTTTTGTTTGTTGCTCAAAGTTGGTTTTATTGATTTGATGAAGGTTTCTTATGAACCTTTTCTACGGCTCAAGGAGGATGAAAGAGCTCAAGTTAAACATGCCTTCTCTAGGAGAAATAGGTATTTAAGAAGATTTTAGCCTCTCATGTGATTGACTGGTTTAGGAACTTAACTAATCATTGTACCGCTCTTATATCTTAGAACAAACGTCTTGGTTTCGCATAAAGACTCCAACCTTGATATTCATGGAACGAATTTACGATGCCTAAGGCCGACTACGTATCTTAACGACGAGGTAGTTCTTCATCTGTTATTTGTTTCAAATACGTATTTATGGTGCTTTTTTCTATTTTTGCATTGTTGAATGCTTTGCTCTGTTTATAGGTCATCAATCTCTATCTCGAATTGCTGAAAGAGAGACAAACTAGAGATCCCCAAAAGTACCTCAAGTGTCATTTCTTTAATACCTTCTTTTACATTAAGGTTAGCTTTCTGTTTTCTTTCTCGTGCTTCGAAAAATACATGCCTATGTTTCCTCATGTCAGATCATTCGCTCAACCATGACCTGCTTCCATAAAAGATATTAATTGCTATGCTTTAGATTTTCTCCGATTTCAACGTATTTTTTGCTAAAACCATCAGATCCTTTTACCTCATTTTCGTCTCGAGGATTATTAATGTTTACCAATGTTTACAGGCTTATGTTTTTTCCTTCTAATTACGTTTGTTCAGCTAGTAGGCAACTCTGGTTCTACTTACGATTACAAAGCCGTCAGGAGATGGACTACCAAGAGAAAGCTGGGATATGATCTTACTGACTGTGACATAGTGAGCTTTCCCCAGAACCTAAACTTTTGATTTCCTTTTCTAAATTTTACAAATTAATCCAATTTTTGTTTGTTAATAAACATGTGCAGATATTTGTTCCAATCCATGGAGGTGATCATTGGACCCTTGCAGTGATTAATATGAAGGAACGCAAGTTCCTTTATCTTGATTCACTAAATGAGGCTGATACTACAAAAATTCTGAATGCTCTGGTATAATTTCTTGATCACAATTTTTTTCCCATTTGCATTTTTTGGAGACGGGATGTGATGATTATGTGCTTAAATCTGAACCTACTGTGAAATTTTTTTTTTCGTACCTGATGGTTGTAAGTATTAAGTAATGCTTGAATCGGTATTTGCTTCAGGCAAAGTACTTGGTGGATGAAGTAATGGACAAAAATGGAAAAGATATTGATGTTAGATCATGGGGCTGTGAATTTGTTAAAAACCTTCCTAGGCAACATAACGGGTATGTAATTCAAATTTTGCTATGTTATTGATAAAGTAAAAGGAGATTTATCTTATTTTATCAAAAATCTCCTCTTTAGAATCATCCAATATTTCTTTGGTTATCTGAGTTAGGGATAGATCCATTTTGTATCGTAATATGAGTTGTGTTCAGATAAGGAAGAAAATATCATCTATAAAGGAGAGGCATGTAGCTAAGCAAATAGGGCAGCTAGTGAAGTTCAGAAGTGTTCACCATAAAAAACGCAATGTTTCTCATACTTTGCTACCTAGATTGCTTCTGTGCTTATCAATCGCAACTGCAACTGCTCTCTGTTAAAAACACTTTGTTTTAATGCACTTAGAGTCCTCTTTTGCAATTTTTTTTTTGGTTATATATTTCCAGGTACGACTGTGGGATGTTTATGCTTAAATACATCGATTTTTACAGCAGAGGACTGAGTCTAGATTTTAGCCAGGTAATTAAAGATATATAGATTTGCATTTGCTTCTGAATCCATATCAGTACTGCATTTGATATCGACAAATATTCACACTTAAAACATGTGTCTTATAGAATTGTGGATGAAATAGTTATAGAATTGATAAGAAGTAATAAAACATGTGTTAAGACTGATTTGTAAAACATTTTTTTATTTTTGTCTTAATTCTATTGTCTGCAGAAGGACATGCCATACTTCAGGTTAAGAACAGCAAAGGAGATACTGGGACTGCGAGCTGACTAATATTCCCGGTTCTTAGTGATATAGCAAGCTTTTATGTAAATCTAATTTGCTTTGACTGTGGAGAAATGCTAGAAAATCTCATGGTCATGGCTGCTTTTTGGAAATATTGGTTCAGTTTTTTGCAAATAGAAATCAAGGTTAGCTTATTACAATTAATATTTTCTGATGCAACCAATTTTATTTTAGAAGCTTCTGAGCAAAGTCTAATTTACTTTCATAGTGGAGACTGAGAATCCCATGGTCATGCATGGCTGCTTCTTGGCATTACTACTGGTTACTTTTATTGCAACTATAATTAAAGATGTTTACAACCAATGTTCAACAAAATCAAACAGTGTGTTGTAATAAGCCTGGAAAATGAGAGTCTTGATACTCATGGTTGCTTCTTGGAGTGTCTCTGTACAAAGTTATTTAGCCTGGAAAATCCCTCTATGAGAAGCTCGAGCTCAACTGCAAAGGTGATACGTAGCCAGTTCTTAAGCCCAACAGCTCGGCCTGCAAGACCCGCATTGATTATTTTAACTGTCTGTAACTGTCAACAAAGCTTGTTAACAGGATGATAATATTACCTGGTAGGATGATCAGGGATTCCTCTTTAGCTAGCTTGTAGCAAAAATCCAAATCATCACTGATATCTTCGAGTAGCGAAAGGTTTAACTTCACCTGGACCAACAAACATATTAGCCTATGAGCTTGAGCTTAACTGATGTATAAATTGATTCCCATCGATTCGTTACCATTGTGAACATTGACCCCTCGGGTTTGCAGGGGCAAGTGATGCAAGGGATCTTTGTAATCTCCTCATTACAAATCTCTGCACATTCTCTCACCATTTCGAGTTTCGATGAGAAGAATTCTTCTTTTGTATTCCCAATAATATCAGGAATCGCGCCCTGGCTCGGACAAACAAAAGAGAAAAGTCTCCTGTCAGACATGTCTTATACCTGACCTGATTCAACAGCAAAGCATCCCATCTACATACCTGAATGAACGTTGCAGCATCCGTTGACATGCTGATGACATTGGTAAGAGACTGAAGAAACTAATAGATAAAGAAACAGATTAATCACAGATACATTCTCGAGAATTGAGTAACCAAAATGTAACTCAATTGCTTAAGCAACAAACCCCAGAATCTTTCATGACGCAATGAGGGTCAAGAGTCACCATCCAGCCAAGTCTCCAGCCAGGAACAAACCATCTTTTCGAGATGGCGCCTAACAAGACTACAGGCACTATATCCGCAAACTCTGCCATGGATACAAACGGTTTCTCCCCAAACGCATAATGATCATAGACTTCGTCTGCTATCACAAGTATTCCAAGCTTGGAAGCCGTCTCTGCAATCTTCATTCACCAAATAAACAGAACAAAGTCAGATACTGCTGAACCAAGTATAAAAATACAACGAAAGTGCAGACCTTTTGAAGATGTTGGCGAGAGAAAACATTTCCACATGGATTGCAAGGGTTGATAAGAACCATGGCGACGGTTTTGTCATCAGCAAGAGCTTCAACTGCATCGAGATCAACATCCCAAGCTTTTTCCTGTAAGAGGTCGAAATAACGGACCTCGAGCTGGCTAAAAGAAGCTCGAGAATCATACATCGGGTAAGAGGGTCTAGGCAAGAGTATGTTAGCCCCAGGAGTTGCAAGTGCAGAGATCAAAATCTCAATGGCTTGCAAACAACCAGCTGTGATATGAACATCATCTGGTGATATCTGGTAAGAGAGATCCCGAGAGAGATACTCTGCGACAGCCCTAATGAAATTTGCAAATGTGGTCTGAATATGAAGAAAGATTATACAATTTTCTACAGCTAATAAGTACGAATTTGTAAGAGATCTTACTTTCTGGCGATAGGAATACCGGAAGCGGAAGAGTACGTGTTAAATTTGGTGGAGCGGACAGAATCGCAGATGGCTTGGACAGCGACAGGATCGGTACTGAATCTGGGGAATGGAGAAGGATCGCCGTGTCCGAGAGGGATGACGGTTCTACCGTCGTTGACGTTGAGACTACTAATTAAGGTTTCAAGATACTGTCGAATGCTTAGAGAGCTTGATCGTTCGACGACCTCGTTAGCTCCGAAGTTCCATCGCTTGTTGGCTCCGTTAGTTTTCTCCATTTTGGTTTTGTTTATTCAGA